TATATATATATATAAACCTCATATGAACCCTATATATGAACCCTATAAACCCATGTATATAATATACTCTATATAAACTATTATAATATATATAATATATTATATTACATATGTGAGCCATAGATAGACCCTAATATAAACCCTACATAGAAACACTACAAAGCCCATTCATCTGTGCCAAGGTTGTCCTGACTGACTACAAATTGGTGGGGCCTGGCGATTTCCAGACGCAGCTGGACCAGATTTATGGGTTGCTTCAGGCGTTTTGCAAGGAGACACAGACACCTCTTCATATGGATGGGATCACTCGAAATAGCTTGGCGTTCAAAGGTGACTATGACTACCCAGCAGGGTGGCTGGAACTTTTGATTACCTTTTTTGTGCTGTTTTTTGGTTTCTGCTTGATTTTTTCTGTCTTATATACAATTTTGGGATGGTCTGTGTTTCTTTGGGCTGATTAGTTTACAAAATCCTCAAGATGTAAGGATGTGGTTCAAGGGGGCTGATACCACTGCTGTTTGCCTTTTTTTCGAGCACTGGCTGATGTCGAACCTGAACGACATATCGAATGACAGGGCGTACTTCGTAAGTATGCTGTCGGCCTTCAAGAGTGCCAACACTTTCTTGAGGACACTTTATAGAAGTGGTTTGTTTTTATCCCGAGAGCGCTGTCGCTTGGCTGCGCAGGCTGGTGTGGACTTTATTCGGGCGTATCGCGAAGTTGCATCGATTGCATACTCAATGGGCCGCACGCGTTTCAAGCTCACTCCGAAGCTGCATGCTTTCTTTCATATCGTGGACCACTTGTGCGTGGCATATGAGGCTGAGCGTCGCTGGACATTCTCACCTTTGGGTGAGAGTGTCCAGATGGATGAGGATTTTGTTGGTCAAATCAGCTCATTGACGTGCACAGTCTCTACTCGCAAGGTCCATCTCGAGTCCGTACGCAAGTACTTGACTAATGTATGGTCACATGTGCGCCCGAAGAGGTGCTTCTGATCGATCGGCTGGGATGACTGAAGGAAAAGATCATGCAATTTGTTGCTTTGTGGAAACCCAAAAGCGTCACCAACTTGACTACCCTTCATGCAAACGCTCCTTTCGTCTGTTGCCCATTATTTAGGGCTACCAGGTTTTCCAGGT